ATTCTGATCTCACCTAGGAAGCAGGACAAGTACTTACTATATACCAGGCCCTTTTCTATGCCTACTTCACACATACTTGATCCCCACAATACTATGATTGATGGTCACTTCTAATAGTATTCTTGTTGAGGAACATTGTAGAAACCGAGGGCCCAGCTTACCCGCACATGAAATGGAAGAGCTGGGGTATGAATGCAGGCATCTTGGCTTCAGAAACCCTGTTCCTAACCCCTGCTCTGCATTGCTCTCCCAGGGACCCCTCCCCTCTGCCTCCTGGGGCTCTGCCAGGACACCCTGACCCCTGTTGTCTGTCCTGGAGCTCAGCCAGACCTAGCTGACCCTTTCCTCTTTTCCAGCCAGCTCTCTGCCTGCACCCTGGGCCTGCCCTGGTAAGAGGCTTATCAGGCATGTGGGGGGGACTGATAAGGCAGGGCCCCCAAACATGGCTTTATCCAGTCCTGCCATCCCCAGCTGCTGGGACTTTGGGGAGCTGCCAGCAGATGGAGCCCCACCCACCCAGCCCTATGCCACCCACACCCAGAGCCTGGTGTCCCTCCCTGCCATGTCACAGCTCCCTGTGATGTCATCTTCTGTGGCGACAGCATTGCTCCTCCTTTGAGTCTAAAGGGGCCACCGAGATGGGAGTTGGGGAGGTGGAGTTAGACAGGAGTCTTAGCCAGGCTCCAGGTCAGCAGGGTGGGTTGGGCTGGATGTCCCAGCATCCTCTCCAGGGTGGATGGCTATTTTTGGTATTGGCTGCTTCACTTAGAGCCACCCCTCTCTGGTCTTCTCAATCCGAAGAGGCTCTGGGTCTGGCAGAGGCCGGAGAAATCTCCAGGACCATTGCAGGGTGGCTCTGGGTATCAGCCTCTAGCTCTGAGCCAGCCCCCTACTCCCCACAGGGAGGCCTGATGCTGGCGAATAGGGGCCTTGCATCACTTCCCGTGGAAAGTGGCGAGGTGGGGAGGGACTAGACGGATGTCCTGACGGGTGGACATAGCCGGACCTGCTCTGACAGTCACGTGTGTCAGCTTGCTTGTGTCAGCAAGTTTATGTTCACAGCCTCTGACCAACACCATCACACGCCAACAGCCGTTCCATCTCACGGCCAGGCCTTCGGCCACAGATGGCCACGTGGTGAGCCACACCAACACACCAGCAGAGGCACACTATCCTACCTCCCACATGGGAGAGCGGGGATCCCTCTCCCCTCATGTATTCCTCTGTATTCCTAGAGATTAGCAAATTCCCAGTACCTTGCACATGGACACTCCTATGTGGTGAGTCCATGGATGTCTGATTATACGGGACCTGTGACTGGGGTGGGGGTGGGCCTGGGAGAAAGCCAGCCCTTCTGTGTCCCCTCTTGGCCCCTGCGGACCCAAGATGGGGGCAATGAGGAAGCATAACTGCTATTTCCAGCACCACCCACAGCCCCAACTCCAGTGATGGTCGCTCCCCAGTTTACACCAGTCCCTGAAGGGCTCTGGGCCATGCAGGGGCACTGCTCAATCCCCTCCAGGTTGTTCTCTGGTGAGTTGGGACATTGGCACTCAAAATGGGTATTAGGAATGTTGGATGATCTAGATGTTGGGTACCCCGGGCATAAACCCATCTGGGTATTGGACCCCTGAGGCTCTGGGTATTGAGAACTCTGGATTTTGGGTTCTCTGAAGTGTTGGGAGCTCTGGCGTCCTTGGCATTGGGTATTCTGGATTTGGGGAGATCTATGGTGTTTCAGAATCCGGGTTTTGCATGCTCTGGACATTGGGGCTACCCACCCACCCACCCCTAGCCAGGGCCAAAGCCAACGTTTCCTGTCTATAGGCCTAATTTCACCTGGAGCTGCTAAGATCCAGCCTGACACCCTGCTCTGAGCCCCATGATTGGCTCATGCTGCCCCCTTGGACCAGACCCAGAAACAGCTCAACAGAATGATCTGAGAGACACACGGAACCCCACAGACATCTCCTGGATTGGGAACCAATTTAATCTGCTCCCTTGCATTAGGATAGGGCAGGGAAGATGCCAGGTACTGAGCACTGGGCTCCAAGTTCAAGGAGAAAGAATATGAGAGCCGAGCCCAGGCGGGCCACTCCCAACAATCTTGCCCTGTTCCTGAGGCTGGGACTCCAAGAAGGTGGGATCAATGGTCAGAACAGGCTGCAACCCAAAACAACGTCTACCCTCCCGCAACGACTCAGCAGGGCCCCTCCCCCTCTGCACCCCTCCACCAAGCTCCATCAGTGCCCTCTAGAAGCGGCCCACGTCTGGTCTTATCCCTATTGCCACAGACACAGGCCCAAGCCAACTCTATGTGTCCCAACAGAGGCCTTGATCCTGCAGGCTGACGACAACAAAGGAGGAAGCCAGCCAGCACTGGGGGATCCGACGCTGGGTGCAGCCCTCCCAGGAAATAGCACTGTAACTGGAGGCTTGGGAGACACACCTTAGCCCACAATGGGTGGGGCCCCGCCACAGGCTGCCTGCCCTCTCGCCCGGCCCCAAGAAGACGAGAAGAAGCAGGTCAGCAGGTCAGCAGACCCCACCAGTCCTCTTGTCTGTCCTAGCCCTGATCCCCCTACTCTCCTGACAATGGTCCAGGCTAGCCATGCCCTTCCCACTTTGTGGGCCAGCTGCCCAGGGCCAGGAGCTCCCAGCCAGGGACGAATGACCTGGGCTCAGCCCAGACCTGCCTCCCTTGGGGCCTCATTTTAGTTGGGGAAGAAAAAAAAAAAACACAGCTGCTCTCGTTCCTGTCTCAGGGAGCCAAAATCTTTCTCAAGTTTCTCCTCAGGATTCAACTCACTGTATGGCTGCCCTTTCTGGATCAAGGTGGGTAAAATGCACACATCCATGAATCTGTCTATACGTATACAAATATATTTTGTGTTCTGTCATCTCTGTCTAGCAAAACCCTCATGGGCAAATCTCCAACCTCCCCACCAAACACCCTAGGGAAAGGGAAAATCTTTTCCCCCAACCCATGGACTAAGGTGATAACTGCCTCCTCACCTCCCGCCTCCCAATTAATGCCTAACTATCCTCCCAGTAAGGCCTCAGGTTGCTGAACCCTGAGCACCTCACCCTCCCCTGCCCCCAGTCTCAAAGCCTGAGGGCTTCCTGGGCGTCTGGTTCTGAGTCTCCTGAAATGCTTCCCTTCATATGGATGCCTTAGTGTGAGGTAGGAAGTCTCCTCAGGCCATAATAATCATCAGACACTTCACTGATCTGCTTGGGGCCTTCTTGTGCCCCTTCACCCTCCATCTACTGCTCCAAGAGCCAAGGAGCCCATTGAAACCCCCTCTCACACACTTCCTTTTCCCCACTCCCTACCTGGGGGCCTCTTCCAAGAGCCTCCAGAGAGGGAGGGAGAGTGAGACCAGAAACAGAATGCAAGTCCTAGGCAGGAGTGTCAAGGAGGGCTTCGACACTCCTGTTGAATTTGATGCTGCCAGTCCCCGGAGTTGGGGGCACACACACACACACACACACACACACACACACACACACACGCCACTGCACAAAGTGGCAGCAGTGCACAACAACTCCTCTAGCAAACACAGACCCACCTCCTCAAATCCACAGGGTAAGCCCACACAGGCCCAGCTGACTCCCCGGGCAGAGGTGCACTCGTGCACGCGCGTGCACATGCATAGGACACTTGGCCATTCGTTCTAGAACAGAACTCCCTAACCTGCTGTCCCTGCTAGGTTTGGGAACAAGGTAAAAATGCAAATAATCTGGTGATGAGGTAAAGTGTCTCTCCAGATCCAATCAGGTCTCCAGTGTAAATAGGTTGTAAGGTCTGAGCCTACAGCCTTGGGGAGAGTTTGTGAAATGGGCTGTGTGTGGCCTGAGAGAGCTCCTGTGGACAGGAAATGTTTGTGCCTGATACCTATTATCTTACTCAATGCCTCTGATCGTAAATTAATCAAGTGGAATCTCACTTGTGTGACTTTGGTGTGTGCTATCAGCTTCTCGGAGGGTGACTGTCCCCAGGGAACAACAAGACCACAGTGAGAAACAGAGGTAGGGTCCAGAGGGCATACCATCTCCCCAGGCTGGGCCCCTGCCAGGCAGATGCCCCACTCAGGCTGGGGCAAGACCTATTTCTCTGACTGCCAGTACGAACTGGTGGCTCTCACAAGGGAAGCAAACTTTCCACCAACTGCCAGGCATTGCCACCCAGGGAGGCAGCCTGGAGCAATGTGTTTTATACACAAGGATACACATTATCTCAGCTCATCCTCTCCACTTCACCGGGGAGGAAACTGAGGCTCAGCAAACTCCTTTTGGCAAAGTCTCCTTTATCTAGTATTGGAACCCAGGTCTGTCTCCCCAGGGAGGGAATTAAGGGGCCCAGATTTGTGTCTGCAGCCCTGCAACAAACAGCCAAGTAGGGCTGACCAAACCAGGAGCCCAAGGAGCGTCCCTGGAGGAAGAATTACCCCTAGACCTCCAGTTCCGAGGATTAAGACCCAGGCCTTACCCAGCTGTGCCCATAGTCCCCAGAGGCACCGCTCCAAAGGCAATGGAATTTGCTCTGACTTCTCCCTGGGGGCAACGCAGGCGCAGAAGACCAGGGGCCTGGAGGGCCAACTCTAGCCCCAGCCCCCCAAAGCGCCCCAGGCCTTCTGGCTTCATTCCAGGCTAGTCCGAAGTGGGCAACGACATCTGCTTCCTCCAAGAGCTCCAGCTGGGGGTTGGAGGGGGGGGCGGTGGGGGCAGCAAGGCAAGGGCGAAAGGGGGTCCTTTGTGGAGCCCACTCCCAGGGGTTATGGGGATCAATCATCTGATAGCTGGAGAGACTTGTAATTTTATTCCCTGGGAGGAGGAGCCTGAGAAGTCGGCCAGCGGGGTGGGGATGAAATGGGGGAGGGGGGGTACAGCGGCCAGGGGAGCTGTGTTCAGGGAGGGGAGGGACTTGGCTAGGTCTCCCAAGCCTTCTCCACTCTCCAAACTTTCACCAAACTCTTGGCCCCCGCCTCCCCGAAACCAAAACACAACAAGCTCTGGAGGAGCCGCGAGCGTATTGGCGGGGCGGGCGGACTCGCGGCGGCACTGAGCCTCGGCAGGCTGATGCAACTTTCCCTTTAAGAAAGCCACCTGGGCGCACCGCGGTGCGGACCCAGCACGCCTGGGCCGGGGGCTGCAGCATGGTAAGGGGGCTTGGGGAAGGGAGCGCTGCGGCCCGCGCCTCTGTCTGTCCTGCCGTCGGTCTGGGTTTGGTGGCTCCTCGAGGCTAAGCCCCAGGACCAGCGGGCGTGAGTGAGTGTGTGTGTGTGTGTGTGTGTGTGTGTGTGTGTGTGTGTGTGTGTGTATGATCGCGCTTGCATGCGGGCGTCTGTGGGTAAGAGTGTGGGTGCACGCACGAGGATGTCTGTCTCGCCGCAAAGATCGGGGGTAGGTGCGCGCGTCTGGGTGTCACCGCTGTCACCAAGGAGCTAAAGCGGGCGAGAACGGAGGGGGGGCGCGCTCCCGAAAGGGGGGGCGCTTCGTGCCGACGCCGGCTCGGTCGGGGGCGGCGGGCGCGGAGCTGTGCGGGCAGCGCCGGAACCAGAGCGTGTCACGGTCCGTCTGGGGCGCCAGTGGGTCTGCGAGCCGGGGGCCTGCGGCGGCGGGGAACCGGCGGGCCGGGTCTGCGCCCCGCGTGCAGGCTCCCGCTCCATCTCTTCGCACCGCTGGCAGGCCTGTCTGCCTATCTGGCCCCTTCAGCCCGCCTGCCTCCCTATCTGCCCGCCCACCCACCGGCCCGGTTTGGGTTCCCGCGCGCCTGCGGGTCCCGGGAAGCCGCGCCAGGGGGTCCCGACGCCCCCAGGATCTTTGTCCGCGGCTCCCGGCCACGGCTTTGGGAAGGGACTACGGCCGTGCAGTTATTTTGGGGCTGCTACTCCAGGGAAAATCCGCGCCCTCCCTACCCCAACCTTCGTTTCGGGTGCGTGTGGGGCGGGCCCGGGCGGCCACAGGTGAGGGCAGGGGCCTGGCAGCCGGGGGCGCCTACCCCCAGCCGGCGCCCCGCACCCCGCAGCCACCGCGGGGCGGTAGAAGGCGGCGGGGCTAGGGCGGGACGGGAGGGGGCTAGCCAGCAGGGCCGGGAGGGGCCGGAGCCGGCCTGGGGGCGGGACAGGGGGCGGGGACCTCGGCGCCCGGGTACTTTTCCACCGCTGGGGCCGGGGGCGGGGCCGCCGCCTCCACACCAGCTGAGAGGCCCACACGTGGCGGCTGATGTAACACCGCCCCCCAACACCTCGCACCCTGATTAAAGCGGACGCACCCCGCTTCGAGGAATCAGGGTGCTACGGGCGGTGCCGCAGCTCCAAGAGCGACCGCGCCCCTGCCTGCCGGCCCGCGGCCTCCTCGCAGATCGCCGGCTGCTTCTTAAAGGAGCCGCGCCCCCTTCGGGCCTGCTCTCCGCAGACCACGCCCCCTCGCTAGTCACTCTTAAAGGAGCCGCGTCCCCGGCTCGCTGGCAGCTTCTGCACAAAGCCTGGGTCTATTTCTTTGCTGAAACAAGCTTGATGCTGCGGTTGTTAGAAGATAAAGGCTGGGGTGGAAGTGGGGAGCGAGAAATGGAAAAGGAAAGAAGGACCTGAGAACTCCAAAGTGAGAGAGCATCGGAAGGTTGGAGAATAGTGGGTGAGGGAACCGGTTGGCGGCACTGAGCATGCCCGAGTGTTTCCAAGGACCGAAGAGAAAACGCCCCCTTAGTCGGCCTACACTGCGACTGCGGCGGTGCCCGCTCAGTGCCCAGCCCTGGGGACACAGAACAATCACACGTTTTCCCTGGAAGATTTCTCCAGTTCGTGGGGATCGAGATCTGGGCACAAGTAACTATGCCGCGACACTACATGTGATGAGCGTGTTCATGAGATGTACACGCTTTGGGGGTACAGCGAAAAGGTGACTGCAGCTGGAGGAGGAAGGAAGTCTTCTTGAAGAGAATGCTACTGGGACAGGCTTTGAAGCTGGGTAGGATCTATACAGATGGTAATGGGGACAAGGATGCTCAAGGAAGAGGGAATTGCCTGCACTAACATGGAGGCAAGAACCTCTGGGAATGGTCCCACATGGCCACAGGTGGCTGCAGGTAGCCAACTTGGGCTCCAGGCAAAACTAGAAGCCATCCCCTGCTCCCACAGACCCTCTGCTCCAGCATCACAGTGAACAGAATGTATGTTTCCTCCTCTGTCTTTCTCCTAAACTATGACGTCCTTGAAGGCAGGGAAAGAGCCCATCACCTTTCCATTCCCAGAGAGGACTCCAAGGCTTGGCTCAGATGGACCCTTACAACTGATTGACAGACAGCCCCCTCTGGGGAGAAGGAAAGACAGAGCAAAGGTAGCTGGGTCCTGGGACTGCCCTCTCACCATCCACCTTTGAGTGGCTCCCAGGCAGCTCACACCCAGCTCACCTGCCTCCCACTCTAAACCTGCAGCACCCCACACTCCTGTCCCTGGGCCTGGCCCTGGCTTTTTCCTGTTGCACCTGCAGAAACCAGAGATCCCTGCTTGTCCCTCAGCTCCTGTGCAATTCATCACCAGGTTCAACCAATGTCAGCTTCTATATTTTTCTCAGATCTGTGCACCTGTCCCCACCCTATGGCCACCTTCCTCATCCACACCCCGTCATCGTGGCCTGGCCTCTTCCAGACTGACTTCTCTTCCACTAACCACTCCCTCTCACCCTTTCCCCACACTGTGTCTAGGGTGATGATTTCAAAATGCACCTTCTACCATTTGCTCCTGCCAGGTGCAACTCTGCCTTAAAGCCTTTGATTGGGACCATTGCCCTCAAGATAAAAATCAAAATCCAGGCTCCAAAGGCCCTGACCCTGCTTATCTGTCCACCTCCATCTTTGGCCACTTTCTCCCTGGCGATCTGAACACAGCCTCAGGGTCTTTGCACATATTTAATTTGTTTGAATCTCTCTTCCTGTTCTCTTCCTCACTATTGCCACTTTGCCTGAATAAGTCTCCCTGAGCCTCTAACATCGCTTCCTCAGGAAAGCCCCCTGTGACTCTCAAACAACGCCATGTCCCCTTGCTCCCAGCTCTCATGGAAGGATCTTTCTCCCTCAGCCTTTGATTGTCTACATCTGAGTCACGAGTTTCCCTTTCCCCCTAGTCTGTTAGATGCAGGAGGGCAGAGACCAATGAGTTCTTGCTGCCCAGCACAGGTCTGGCCCAGAGCAAGCCTGAAATATTTGTGGAATAAATTAATTGAATTGTGACCAGCCCTAAATGCCCATTAAACAATCTAGGCCATATCTGTTGGCTGTGGAGAACCATGAGGGGGAATCGGGGCTTTAGGGCTTTGGGAAGCTTAATGAATCGGCTAGAGGGGGGGACTTGCAGTAGAGTCCAAAATTAAGCAGAAACTTCAGAACTTACAAAGGAAGTATTACTAGTCCCATCTTCCAGTTAGAGAAAACTGAGGCTTAGAGAAGTTAAGTAACTTGCTCGGAGTCATATATGTAGTAACTGGCGGAACCAGAATTCCAGCCAAGGCCTACCAGGTCCCAGAGCCCAAGCTCTTCATCACATGCTAAACTAACTGCTTGCCAGTGGTGGCCCATATGTGGTACTTTTTGAATGGATGGACAGGGCCATTTAACAGAAATGGCAGAAGTGGGAGAAGCAGCAAAGCTTTCTGACCAACTCATTCATTCTCCTGGAGCCACCACCAAGCTGTCTTCTGGTCACCAGTAAACACTCTGAGCACAAGAACTGTATTTGTAGTCTGTGCTCAGGGATAACCTGAGTGAGAACACTCTGGAACCTGAGTTCCTGAGCAGAGTGCCCTCAGTTTATTTACCTAATCAGGGTACATAATAAGTACTAACCCAAAAGGTGTATTTCAATAATGCCATGGGCTGTTATTACCATTTGTTGGCTGAAGAGGGACAGCTTTGGGGAAGTCAGATCTAGAGTTTACAGCTTAAGGAGGGGGTGCAGTGAGTGAGGAGGACAAGGAAACCAGGTATGACCAGGGTATGACCTTCTAAAGGAGCACAGACCCCCTCTTCTCCTGACTGCCCCCAGAAGACCAAAGCCGTGTTCAGGGACCTCTTTAGGAGGACCCTTTGAGAGGCAGAGAGGCCAGACTGGGTGACTGACGAAAGGGAAATGGTTATAGGTCTTATCCATAACCATACCCCTTCCCGCACCCACCTTGGGGAGAAGACTGTGCAGGAACCAAGTGGCGGGGGCCAACTCCTAAGGAATCCAAGAGCTGATTTTTCACGGGCAAGGAGCTGCCTCCTCGTCCCTTCTGGCCTTCTAAAACCTTCCTGGGCCTATAGGAGAGAGGGGGCCCTTGACAGGTGGCTGTGGGTGGGGCAGAGTGGCACCGAACAGCCTTTGGAGTAGAGTCTGCTCCCTGGGAGGATAGAGAAGGCCCCAGAAGCTGAGTCCAGTCCCTCCTGGGACCAGGCCCTATGGAGGTTGAACATCCTTGTCCACCTAATCCAGGTTTTCCTCCCATGAGAGAATTCCTTGAGGCTCCTTGAAGGTTGAATCCTCTCCTGAGGCTTCTCAAAAAAGAGCCCCTATTGCATCCGTGTCCGACATTAAACCTGTATACACCAGCACGGCCATGGCCGTGTGGCCACTCCTTCCGTTTGTCTGCGGCCTCCGCTCATCATGCCCACACTGCGTCTCAGATGCTTCCTCCAAGGTCTCTGGCTGGCCTGGACCGTCATTCCAATACCTCAGTCTCACCCATTGCCCTTCAATCCCATTTGAGCAAGACATCCTGCTTGTGCACCCTGGGCTAGGGGCAGGCGTGGAAGGTAAATGAAACAAGGACCCAACCCGCGGGGAATGCACAGACTCAGGTTGAGGGACAGAAACAAATAAGTCTAGTATGAGTTGATAAGGACACCAGTAGAAACCTGCTAAAAAAAGAAAGGAGGAAGTAGTTTGTTCACTCTGGTTGGGAAGAGTGCCAGAAAAGGCTACAGAGAAGATGTAACATTTCAGCGTGGTTCTAAAGGATTTGCAGAATTTTACTAGGTGAGCAGGAAGGAAGACGTTGCAGGCAGGGGAAGGCCTGAGGCAGGGCAGGGAGGTGGTCCCGCGCAGCGCATGTTTGGTGTTCACAGAGCCTGTGGTCCAGGTCCAGCTTGCCCGGCTGTTCTGGAGCCCCAGATGAGTGGCACCAGGATGAGGAAGGAGCGTCCTGGCCGCCTGGCTGGGGTGAGCTTGGGGAGCACGTGCTGATCCACGCTGACTCCCCTTCAGGAGAAAGGTTGAAGCCATCCACACAGACGATGAAGGAATTGGACCCTGTCCCAGTCCTGTGTTCATTTTTTAATCTTTTATAGAATTGGGCATCTGGAGAGTCAAAAATAGACTTTTGCCCATTGGGACAGGAAGCCTAGAGACCAAGGGATTCAAGGGAAGGGTTGGAAGAAGGGTTAGGAAGGAGCTGATCGAGGGTCATCCAGAAAGGACCAGATGGGAAAGGGCCTGGCAGACGGTGGGCCAGCCTGGGAGGGGAGTGAGGGCCTGCCAGCTGGTAGCCCAGGCCCAGCACTACCTGTCCTGGAGAGCTCTGACCACCCCACCTGGCTTGCCCTCACTTTCCTGGGCCAGGTTCCCACTCCGCTCTCTGCTCTCTCCACAGCTCTTGAGGTCTGTGGTCTGAAAGGTGCTGGAAGCAGAGCCTGTGAGCGTGGTCCAGGACTCCAGGGGCCCCCAACCTGCTGCTGCCATGGTAGGAAAAGGTGCCAAAGGGATGCTGGTGAGTACAGGAACCAGACTGCAGGGAGGAAGAGGGGATCATGAGCACTGCCCCCCGGAGGCCTTCTGCTGGCTGCCTGCCATAACAGGAGGGCCGAGGGGGCTTCTTGGGGCCCTGAGTCTGGCTGCACTGCTGGGGCTCCTGAGTAGTAGGGCTGTCCCAGGCCCCAAGTAGGCAGCCCCTTACCCAACAGGCTCAATGGTATTGCAGCTCTGAGCCCATAACAGGGCCGATGCTGCCACAGAGCCCACGACGGCACATCAGGAGGCAGGAGCGCACACCCCATCCTTATTACAAGAGGTGCTCTGGGCAACAAGACAAGAGGACACCCAGGACCGTCACACAGTTGGACCCCAGTACCCCACCCCCACCCCGTGCTCTGCCCGCCACACAGAGCATTCCGTATGTGCGAACCCAGGGGTCTTCAGACCGTCTGTTTTTTCTCTCCTTCCCTGGTTCCTTCTCACTCTGAAAAGGAACAGAGAACATTTCATTTGAATCCTCTTCCGAGGCCTCAGGAAACTCCCCTCTCCCCCTTCCCCAAGCCATGGCCTTTCCTTTGCCCACTGCTACGGAGCACAGGAGCGGTGGTAGTGAGGCCCCGCGAGAGGCAGCAGGCAAGGGCCTGGCGTGGTCAGGGCTTGAAGAAGGAAGACTCGCCAATGGACAGAGCAGGTTGGCACTGGAAGCAGGAACCGGGAAAAAGATATCAGATCCCATCCCAAGAGCAGTGGTTGTGTTTCTTCTGTTGGGATCTTGCCTTGGGGACAAACTAGATGGGGCTACTGTCAGGGGAGGAAGCCAGTGACGGAGCGCAACCCTGCCCTTGGCACCTCTCTCGCCGACATCAATTCCTTCCATTGCTTTTCTCATTCTGTGAAGGATTGACTGGCCTAGGGTCTCTGCAGAGCTCCCCCACCCCCTAAATAGGCCCTGTCTCTCACCAGAGATTTCTGGGGCTCCGAGTACTTGGTCCAGAGGAATGGCCTGGGAGCGGAAATGGGCAGTTTCCCTCCAGGGTAAGGACCCTCCATTCTACCCCGTTCTGAACGTCTAGCATTCAGTCCTTCAGGCCTCCTCTGGCCTGGCTCCTACCTCGTTGGAACACGTCTGAATGAGCCAAGCTTCTGAAAGTACTCCCGAGCCAGCCTGAACTCAGGGTGCTCACAGATGGGCGGAGAGGAAGTCTCGTGATGGAGTCAAAATGGCCTCCCTTTCCCAGAGAACTCTGGGAATCGTCACAGGCCCGTCATCCGTAGGAAGTGGGGTGTGGCTCTGCCCCAGGCTACATGGAGATTCTGAGCCCCATGAAACCTAAGAAACCCTCGGAGGATTCCCTGGCTGCTCTTCTGTCTTGGGAGTGACCCTGAAAGGACTGGTGGGAGCAAGCAGTTGAGATGCGGGCCACAGAGGGAGCATGAATCACAGCATCTCATAATCCCTGCCCTGAGCTGGGCTTCCCGGACTTTGGGCCCTGCCTGGCCAGCCTGTCTGTAGAAGGGAGTGCTGCCTTGGGACGCCCGTTCCCAGCCCCAGGATGTGCCTAAAGATAGCTGGGGCTCGGATGCCCTCTGCCCTTTGGCTTCTGCCTGCCACTGCTGGTTTGAGGCCCATAACATCTGTCCCCTGGGCTCCCCCCATCCCCCACCACAGCGGTTGCTAGAGATTCTATTCCTGCCTCTTTCTCAGTTCTGCTGATGACCTTGGGCTACTCTGTTCTCGGGCCCCAGTTTGGAAACTGAAGCCATCTCCATTCAGGGCCTGTCTCTAGGACACAGGCTGTGAGGGGCGCCATCCCTCCTGGCTAGCTGAGTCAGCCCGTTTTTAGGTGTCTCTGCTCCCCTAAGGGCAGAGAGCTAAGAACACTCCTTTCAGACATGCCTTCCTCTCCATGCTGGCGTAAGGACAGAAGAGAGGCTACTGAGGGCCACGCATGTAAGCTGCATGGACGGTCCCAGGCCTGTGGCTTCTTTTGCCATTTGTAACCTGGTATGCGGGGATAGGGTAGTTAACCCCTGCCGCTGGGTCCTTCCTTCCATCCCCTTTCTGTCCGGTTTGGGTGTGAGGACATGGGTCCCTCCTCTGCCCCCATCCCCAGGCTCTCTTCGGTGTCAGCAGACACCCTGTGTCATCCTTGGAGCTCCTGCCCTGCTCTCCATGGGGCAGGGGCCTGGCGGGGAAGCAAGGCCCTCTTCAGCATGTGCCCAGGCCCACATGCCTGCTGCACGTGTCCCTCCCCCACCCCCAGCCCAGATGGTCTCTGCCAGTCTAGCTCAGCTGCCTCCCTCACGCCTCAGCAGCTCCTAGGACAGGGCCATGCGAGAACCCAGCTGGCCAGGGTGCCTCCAAGCCTGGGAGCAGCTGGGATGCTTGGGGGCACTGGGGGATGGGTGGGGTGATACTTGCATGGAGACCTAGTGCCTCTGTACCCACATGGGGCTGGGCTGCCTGAGGCTCAGAGGACAGGGAGCTGGGGGAGAGGAGCCCAGGACAGGAGAACCCCACTGGGATTGGCTGTAACCACATGGCCTCCCAGCAAGGTCACCAGCTGGCTGATTTGGTCCCCTTCCTGTGCCTGGTCCCCACTGACAGCATCTTGGCCAACAGAGGCCTTGGTGAGCCTCATTGGCCTCTCCCTGTGTCTTTGAGCACCCTGGTCGCTCTTGTCATTGGGCAACCTTGCGATGATTAGGAGCAGAGTCACCTGGGCTAGGGCGGTAGGCGCCAGAGCATCTAAATCGTCCCAGAAGCCTTTGCAAGCACCACAGGCACCCGGGGGCTGCCCAGCCCTGACCCTCTCGGTTAGGCTTTGACAGGAGGATTTGTACAGTTTTGTACATCTCTTATTTGCGATGCCCATCACAGGGCCTGGCACACAGTGAGTCCTCCCCCAGCCCACAGCCTGACATGTGGCAGTGCTCAGCTAATAGGGGCTTGGCACATGCTGGGAGTTTACCAAGCACAGGGTTTGGCTGACGTTAGGCACTTCCTAGGGGAAGAGCCTGTCCTCGGCTAGGCCCTCACCGAGCACCAGCCCCAGCACGTGGGAGGTGCTCACCCAGGACAGACTCGGCATGCATTGGGCTCCCATCTGTCAGTGCCAGGTGCACAGTGGGTCCTCCCCCAGCTCCATGTGGGGCATACCATGGATCCTGACCTGGCACGGAATTTGGCCCACATGGGCTTCTCCTCTGGCGCAGGACCTAGCCCACCGCTGGGGTTCGCTGGTGTTGGGCTGATAGGAAGGGGTGCTCTCTTCACCCCGGCTTGGCACCGTACGTGTCCTTATAGCTCAGACTTTGCACATCGTGGGCCCTCTGCTAACACAGGTCCCGGCCCACAGTGAGTGCTTTCCAAACACAGGTCTGGGGTGGTACAGCGGGTGCTTTCCTAGATCGGGGCCTGGCACACAGTAGTACTCTCTTAGCTCAGGGATTGGCACATAGTGGCAGTGGCATAAGAAGTGCACCTTCTTATAGGAGGCCTAGCCCAGATTTGGGGCTCTCTTAGCCAGGACAGCCTGAACAGTGACCTAGGTGATCAACCAGGTGATTGGAGACGTGTAACTACACCCTCCCTGTGAAATGGACGATATCTAGATCCAGAGGAAAAGGCTCCATGTTCCTGAGGCCTCCTCTCTGGACCTAAGATCCTGCCCTCCCTTCCCCTTGGTCTCCTTCCCCTCCCCACCTTCCTGGGAGCACACCTGCTCCATCCTGTGCCCTCCCCTCAGCTCACAGGGCTTCCCTGCAGCCCTCGCCCTGCTCAGTCCTAGCTCTGCAGGACCTTCCCCGTGGAGGCACAGGGCACAACAAAGCAACTAGATTCCTTGCCCCTCTGGAGGCATGCCCACTCTTATTAAGAAAAGTCAGGCGTGGGGGCTGGGGGAGTCGGCCTCCCAAAGTGGGGCTGGAGCAGCTGGATCCCACTAATGAGGCCTCATTACGGCCAGGGCCCAGCTGGGCTGCTGCCGCCTCCTGTCCCCATGGCCAGGGCCAGAGAAAGCCATCCAGCCAGGGCCGCCTGTTCTGGGCACCCTGCCCAGGCCAGAGCAGCCAGAGCCGGAGCCCACCCTGGGTGGAAGTGAGCATTTGGGCATCATGGGTGACTGGGCCTTCCTGAAGGCAGTGGCCCAGCCAGGGCCTTGGCCCGTAGTCTGTGTGTGCAGGAAGTCAGCGGAGTGTGTCTGGGGACCTGGCTGCGTGAGGCTGGCCCAGTGAGACACTGAAGTCAGTGGGGTCTCAGACCATTCTTGGGACACTTGCTTGAGCCAAGGCGGGTCTCTATCTATCCCCAAATATGGGGCTAATATCAAGGGATGGGTCTACATCAAGGCAAGGGGCGGGGGGATGAAACAAATTTATATATATATATATATATATATATATATATATATATATATATAAAGTGTTTAGGACACTGTCTGGTCCATAGTAAGCACTCACTTACCGTTACTGCTAATTCTCACTAGACTCGGTGATGGGTGGATATTATTCTTATTTCAGAGATGAGGAAGCTAAGACCAGACATATTAAGTGATTTGCCTGTCTATATGGTGAGAAACTGGCTGTGCTGGGGTTTAAACCAGGTCTGTCTGACTCTAAAATCTTGTGCCTTTTTTTGTTTGCTTAAAGCCATTCTTTAAAAAAAAAAAAAAAAAAAAAGCCATCCTGACTTGTTCCCTTCAAGGTCACCATACTTACCAAGCTCACAGAAAGGCTAGGTTTTTTACATCAGACTGCATGCTTCCACTTGGTGGGTGTTTGCTAAGATTGTACCATGTGCCCGGCACTCTGCCGACCTATCCATTTCCAAAGAGAGGTTCGCCTTCCGGGGATTGGAACACTCTTGTCCGCTTTCCTGACCGCTGGTCTTGGCATGTCAGCATCAGCTGGAGACTGACCTGTGAGTGTGGTCTCAGAGAAGTGGGACTGGATGGGTCTGAGTGACATCCCGCCCCAGTGACAGGGACACCTGCTGGACGGAACCCAGCTCACACG